GAGAGAGGGAGAGGGAGTAATCCAATTTAAAAATGCCCCCTAGGTAAAGCTGGGCATGGTGGCACACACCTGTAATCCCAGCACTCAGGAGGCTGAGGCAGGAGGATTGCGGTGAGTTCGAGACCAGCCTGGGCTACACAGTGAATTCCAGGTCAGCCTCAACTACATAGTGAGACCCTGTCTCGAAAAAACCAAAAAAAAAAAAAAACCCAAGCCAAACCAAAAAAAAAAAAAAAAAAAAAAAAAAAAAAAAAAAAAAACCCAAGCCAAACCAAACAAATAATGCCCACTAGGTAGCTCAATGGTACAGCACGTACTCAGTGTGTGCAAGGCCTTGGATTCAATCTCCAGCTCCAAAAATAAAACAAAACAGAAACCCCAAAGACAAACCCATCCCCTCATTAGGACAAAGTCAGTTCTTAGAATAAGATGACAGCAAACTTGTTCACGTGAAGCTATACTTAGCACCCTAATTTATCAGCAAGGAAGCTAATTTTATTATTGTTTAACTCATTTCTTTTTTGGTACCAGGGATCGAACTCGGGTCCTTGTGCTTGCAAGGGAGGTGGCAGAACTGCTGAGCTAAATCCTCAGCCCTGTTTAACTCAATTTAAAAAACCTGCACTTGGTACATGTGACAGTTTCTCACAGCAATATAATTCTAAAACGTTAAAAATATTTGACAAACAGGGCCATGGATTTAGCTCAGTGGCACCAGTCTGCCTTGCAAGCACAAAGATCAGAGTTCGATCTCAGGTACCAAAAAAAAAAAAAAAAAAAAAAAAAAAAATTTGACAAAAGAATTTTTTTTGTTTTTTTTTGGTACTTGAGATTGAATTCAGGGCTTAAGAATGCTAAGCAAGCACTCTATCTCTGAGCTATAGCCCCAGCTCCTCTCTTTTTATTTTGTTTTTGTTTTTTTTTAATGCTCCTGAGAGAAGGTCTCCCTATGTAGTTCAGGCTGGAACTGAACTCAGTATGCAGCCCAAGCTAGCCTCAAATGCATAGCAATCTTGCTCCAGCCTCGTGAGTGCTGGGATTACAGGTGTGTGCTATCATACCTGGCTCATCTCCAGCCTCTTTTAATATTTTATTTTCAGACAGGTCTTGGTAAGTTGTCCAGGCTAGCTCTGAACCTGCTGTCCTCCTTCTTCAGTCTCCTGAGTGGCTGGGATTAGATTAAGTATACCACTGTACCTGGCTTAGAAAATTTTTAATTTGCCATTTATTTCATGGGCTAGAAATAAAACATACGAGTCTTTTTTTGTCTATGGCTTGTATTCATTTTGGCCATTCTTTTAAGGTTATGGTATACAGTGTATTAACTAATGCTATTCTTTAAATAATTTGTTATGAAATTTTGCTTTATCTTTTCATAGAAGACTGTTTTTAAAACACATATTCTTTTTTGGTACCAGGGATCAAACTCGGTACCTTGCACTTGAGAGGCAGGGGGTGGCATTACTGAGCTAAATCCCCAGCCCCCCAAAACCCATTTTCTTTATTAATATCTACTTGAAATAAAAAAGAAATAAAACATATATCTTTCTTTATAAAAGATCAAGATTAACAGGACAACTGAATGAAATATAAAGAGCCTGTGTTCATATCCCAGGTTGGGGAAGTGAAAGAAGCTACTAATTTGGTAATCATATTGCCAATTTTTTTGTTTTATTTAGATCTTTGCGAAGGTTAAACAGCTTTACAAGGTCAAAGGTTACATTTCTTTGTTTGTTTCCCAGGTTGGGGAAGTGAAAGAAGCTACTAATTTGGTAATCATATTGCCAATTTTTTTGTTTTATTTAGATCTTTGCGAAGGTTAAACAGCTTTACAAGGTCAAAGGTCACTTTTCTTTGTTTGTTTTTTTTGAGACAAGGTCTCACTATATAGTTGAGACTGACCTGGAACTCACTGTGTAGCCCAGGCTGGCCTCGAACTCACAGCGATCCCCTTGCCTCAGCCTCCTGAGTGCTGGGATTACAGGCGTGTGCCACCTTGCCTGGCATAAGGTTACACTTCATACAAATCATCATGCAGTTTGGAAGTTTGTGTCTACTGAATTATTTGACATGGCAAGACGTCTGTCTTAGAAATTACATTAAGAGCAGGGAATGTAACTCCGTAGTAGAGCACATGCTTAGTATGTGCAAGGACCTGGGTTGATTCTCAGCATTGCAAAAAACAAAACAAAACAAAACAAAACAACTCAAAATCAATCAAATAACAACAAAACTCCACAAAGTGAATAAAAGCATATTATGTAAGAAATTCAAATATCATGAGGCATATGATGTTTTGATGTCACACATCAAAGAGTGATAATCTTATCTACCCACCATTGTTTGGTGTTTCTTCTTGGGACTTTCATATGCATTTATAAATATATACACATCATGTACATATAAGGCCTTTTAAAATAAAACATAAATGGCATAGCACACTTACTGTTCTGTGACTTTTTTATTCTCACCTATCAAGGTATCATCCAGAAGATTTTATATGAAGAAACAGGTTGGATATTAGATAAGCACATCCAGACATATAACATCTCTGAAATTACCACAATCTCTATTTTAGGGCCATAAAAAACTTACCTAATAATATATAATTAATAAATAAGGATAGTTGATTGGTAATACCTAGACCATTAGATTTCATAGAACATTGAAATGTTCCCCCCCCAAAATTTTAGGAATAAACATAAGATTGTCAAATTTTAATTTTTTACCAGGTGAGAACATTTAAAAAAAAAGGTATTGTCAATATCAACATTATTCATAAAAAAGGATAATTTAAGTTTCGTTCAGTAGAAAGAACAATGTTTAAAATTGAGTATATTTAGCTTTAAGAAAACTTACTTATTGCTCCTACCTTTGATCAAATTGATACTGACTAATGAAAACTCTGTTACGTGACAGGTTGGCCTACAGACCAGTGGTTAGAAGATGACTGAATAATAGAGGTAATATAACAAAAAAGAGTAGGGGAAAGAACTTTTGGATCAGATTTTAAGTTTAAATGCTGGCTTTCAATGTGATCTTGGGCAAATGACTTACTCCCACAGGAACCATCTAAGCTGAGCCGTGGCCCAGAGGCCAACCCACAGATTTATAAGGTTAAATAAATGAATATTTGTTTTAGGCACTAGTTAGTTATGCATTGAAAACTAACTAGTATTTCTGTATGACTCAGACAGATAAGGTCATAAAAACCGACCAGATCCATGTAATAGCATCCACTATAGGCTTCAAGTTATTTCCAATTGGTTCACTGGTACTCTAGGTCAGGAAACCAACACACATGTATTTTGTCATGTCACAACTGTAAGAAGAAGGAACTTCAGAAATGTTATTTATGACAGTTTCTCTGGCCCTTTGCCAGTAAATAAGGTATTTTCATACCAATATAATTTTTCTTGAAATAAACATCTCTCCATAATCTTCAAATACGAGAAAGCTAAGGATCATAGTTGAGCTTTGGTGTCTGATGCTGTAACCAGGCTCAGATTATCTGTCTTACCCAAACTCCCACAAGATAAGGTCCTTTGAATTCCATTACCCATTTACAAGTGCTTTTTGATGGAGGTCATCTGTGACATCAGATCTTAGAGGGAACATTCGTATTTTATGAGACATTCCAGACCTCACTCTCAAAGCATCTTGTATTTCGTATGAGCCAAAGTGACGTCTCCCCCCGCCACCGTGCTCCTCTAGGTCTCTAGATTTGTAATCCCGGTGTAGCTTGTAATGTGGCATCGTGTGACTGCATGGGTGTGAATGTCTTTTCCCTTCCTTTCCTTGAAATGGATCTGCTATCTGTGGGGAATATTTCATATTGCTAATTACCAAGTCAATTTCATACTTCATCTGGTGGTTTTAAGGCAAAGTTTTGTATGAAATAAAACACAGGCGATATCCTACTATAGTAGAAAGACAAGGAAAGGTGGAGTTGCTGATGTAGGGTTGTTTACCAGTGGGCAGCTGTCACCATGGTCACCACCAAGTGAAACCCTAGGAGACAGTGAGTCTTGAAGGTTCTGAGTTTTGAGTAAAGAAGTGTGAGAAACAATGTGCTGTTATTTTCTAATCTTCTGGGATGGTGCAGAAAAAAATTCATAAGAATTTTGTACCATTTGTTTGCAGAGCACCATGAAGCTGCAATTAAGAATGAAGGAAGGTATACTTTGAAAGTGCAAGGACCCGAGTTTGATCCCTAGTATCAAAAAGGAAAAAACAAAACCCAGAATGAAGGAAGGAGGTGGGTGTGGTGGTGCACACCTGTCATCCCAGCACTAGGAAGGCTGAGGCAGGAAGACTGCTGTGAGTTCGAGGCCTGCCTGGGCTATACAGTGAGTTCAAAGCCAGCCTGAACTGCACAGTGAGACCTTGTCTCAAAAAACCCCAAAATAATGGAGGAAGGAGCTACAAATGTCTAGGAACAAACAAAAATGGCGAAGACAGAAACTACGGATGATTAGAGATTTTCTGTGACTCTCAGAAGTATAGACAGGTGCTACATAAAGAAGCAGCAGTATCCTTGTTCTTGGAACAATTTTTTGTTTAAAACCAAAAATCATTTCTGAACATGAATTAGAGAGTAAAATTAATAAGTCTTTTTATCTGGCGAGAAATAGAATAATTATTTACAGTGGGACTGTGGCCATTTGCATACCATGGGTAATCTTTCATGGCATTTTCTCTTATAAAGCCGTGAGAATTTTGAAAAATCAGAAGTACTCAGAGCAGCACAGTCACTTTACTGTCACTTCTAAGCTCCTGATGGCTTCTGCCATTTTTAATCAAGGTTTTTTTTAAGCCTAAAGATGTTGATCCCTCTGTGAGGTCTCTATTCTTTTACCTGAGAGTTATACACTGTATATGCACCAAATCTGTCAGAGGTCTACTCATTTTCCGCCTAAAGATGATTTGTAGGTCTAGTCCATATACTTACAGCTCACATAAAACATACGACTAAATCACATTAGATTAACTCAGGCTGGTATCGACAGCCCAGTGGGAATGTATTGATTAGGTCCCCTTTCAGGTTATTTGTTATGATTTTTTCTTCTCAGTTTCATTTACTGGGAAGACACAGGGGAAGAGATTTCACCGGGAACAATGACAGAGCTTGTCACAAAATGTTCTCAATGTTTCCATTTGTTACTATGGCAGTGACAAAGAGGGTTCCAAATGAAAAGGCAGGCCTGCTGTGACAAAGCACAGCAGGACAACGGAAGAAATTTTCTCCTGACCTGGGAAATTAGGAAATCATACTCAGAGATTATAGAATTGTCTCAAAAGGTACAATCCTAGCACATGGGCTTTTGAGGGAGAATGTGAAAAGAGTTCCATCAGGGCTGGCTAGGGACAAATAAAGAGCAAAGGTTACAAAGCACTTAAGACCTCCAAATGGAGCAAGTGTGCTTGTCAAGGCAAGTGGGATTTGTTGCTATCACTAAACCCTTGAGATCTATTTAATTTAATTTATGTACATTTGGGGTACTCATTTAAAAATTACACAGGAAGATCCCTGCTACAGTCATATATCTTTGAACTTCATGAAAGAAACATATGGCCCTCTGGCACTGAGCTATGTAATTAGCACATGGTAACTAGAGGGATACTTTACCAAAAACTTGAAATGTATGAAAAGAAAATTACTGTCCTTCAGAGAGTTAAAGTAGACTGGAATACAGATACGCAAAGTCACAAAGATGGAAGTATTTGTCAGCCAACAAAACTTGAAAGTAATGGGATAAATATATTATCTCTCTAAAGATAGAAGGTATCAGTCAGAAAGGAGATAAGTTAATCAGGCAGTGAGGCAAAGAAAAAGAAACTCCTCAGTATACGGAACAGTTGTCACGGCCTCTCTATCTCTGCTAGGACCAGGAGAGTTTAACAGCTGGAGCTGTTTCCGGTTTCAGTAGAAAGACTTGCTGAGGAGGAGATAGAAGCAGTGGGTTTTCCAATGATTTCTTTTTTTTTAAGTGTTTACAACTAACAAGACCATCTCTGTTGTAGGATGGATCCATAAGCTAGCTCAGCCTAGTTCTATAAACATCCCTTATTTAACTCTGCTTATTTGGATTCTGTGCTAACCAAGCGAGTTTATGATGTCGCTTTCTGCATCTCTGTAGTACAATCGATTCTACTACTTAGCAAAAGCTGTTGGTTCAAAGTCACCAGAGACTATGGACCTTCAATTCTGTTGTTTCAGTTTTTCTTTCTTTTATGCAGTAAATTCACCTTAGTGTCATGAGCACCCTTGCAGATAATAAGAGCCTCTCTTCGATCTATTTAGATAATAGGAAGATGCTCTTTGGCAAAAAGTAGCTTTTGTCAGGAGGGCTGGCCTGTGGCTCTCTCCCTTTTAGTGATGAGCTTTCCCTATATGTTTGGAGAAATAGTATAATGAAATGAGGAAGACCTTACTTGAGAGCAAAGTGCTTGGGTTTAAACCCTACTGCTACTCTCTCGCTATGAGACTATGGGGCAGGCTCCCCAACTTTGGTTTAGTTTGCTCATCAGTAAAATATAATTTTTAAAAAATTGCAGGGGAAAAAAAAAAGGGCTGAGATTTAGCTCAATGGTTCTGCCACCTGCCTTGCAAGCACAAGGTCCTGAGTTTGATCCACAGTACCAACAAAACAAAACAACCCAAAAACCAAACACAGGAGGATTTTTCAAAACATTAAGTTAGTTAATATAAGTACAAGGATAGGCCATTTGTATACAATATAAAGGATATACACAGAATGTGCTGAATATAACAGGCACAAGTATTCCATCAGTAAACTAATGTGCTTATCTCATTACAGGGCCTAGGTTTTCAAGATCTGATTGTCCTGGGAACTGCTTAGAATACAATTAAAATGAGAAAAATGGCTACTAGTTGAGCGACTACCAATGAAGTTCTGCTGAGTTTCAGCCTGTCTTCTACTTTCTCTGCACTAAAATCCACTGTTTGAAGCCTGGATCAGCTGGAAATAAAGTGAGGAAGCTGCCAATGCTTACAAGGGTTGGGAAACTACAGCCAGTGAGCCCAATCTGGCCAGTGGTCTCCTTTTTGTATATTTTGAAAGCAAAGAAAGGTATATACCTTTTTTTTTTCTTCTTCTTTTTTTTTTTTTTTTATTTGAGACAGGGTCTCCCTATGCAGTCTAGGCTGGCCTTGAACTCACTATGTACTCCAAGCTGGTCTCAAACTCATGGTGATCCTCCTGCCTCAGCCTCTGACGTACTGGAATTACAGATGTGCACCACCATGCCCAGCTAAGGTTTTTATATTTTAAAAGTGTTATTTTATATATATATATATGAAAAATCTAAACAACCAGACAAATGATGCAAGACAATAAGCAGTATAATGAGCAATATAACCTGTATATCACTTACACAGATTAAACTATTCACTGTCTGGTCCTTTACCAAAAAGAAAAAAAAAGTGTGGACTCCTGTTCCCCAGACTCTTTGCTTTTCACTTACTTATATATACCTCAATAATAACTATAATGAGGCTAGGTAAGTCACGTGGGATAAAAGAAGCTGAAAATCCTTTAATGAAAATTCCAACTTCTTTGATGAAATTTATTTCTCACAGTAACCGAAGTGCAACTGGGAGTGAGCTCTTGCTGTACTTACCTTAGTACCCTAAGAATAGCCTCTTTGCCCCTCAACAAGCACACATTCTTAATGTGCACAGAACTGGCAGGATTACAGGTGCGGCATCTGTTATTATAGGGCCAAGAAGCCCAGAACCCTTGGACCAGTGGTAGTAGTTTACTAGGTGACTATCATAGCCAGGACAGTCCTTATGTCCTAGTGAATGTCAGTGATACAGAATATTGAGTAATGTACACACAAGGGAAAGGTATCCAAGTTTTTACACTATGATTCTCAGTTTAATCAACTTTCAACCAGAAAACTGCTACAGTTTCCTTGTTGGATGCATTAGCAAATACCTGTAATCCCAGCTAGGGGAGAGTCTGAGGCAGGAGGATCACAAGCTCAAGGCCAGTTTGGGCAACTTAGTGAGATGCTACCTCAAAAAATAAAAAAATGGGCTGGGATGTAGCTCAGTGGTAGAGACCTTGTCTAATACATGTAAAGCCCTTGGTTCAATTCTTAGTACCAGAGTGTGGGGTGGGGAGAGGAAATCAGTATTATTTATACAATATGGCTTAACTCTGAATAAAATATTTTTAGCTTACACAGATTTGTAGCTGTGAAGAGTATGGAAGAGGAAAATTAGCTTCAAAAATATTCTAAAAGTACCCATGATGTAGCCTTTCAGAGAAAGGAAATAAAAAACAAAAGCTTCACAGTGAAACAGAATATTTCTTTTGTATGTACTCTTTCCAAAGAATACAGAACATGGGGTATCCTATGTGTTACAGCTCATTTAAGATGTGGTATGAGTGGTTTCAGGGAAAAAAAGAAAACATAATTAAAATATCATTAAAATAAAAGAATATTAAAATATTAAATTAAAACTATCATATAAACAAAAATAAGTTTCCCACAATTCATATTAACCCCCAGGAGAAGGGAGCAACAGCCAGCTCCATTTGCCTTTTTACCTTGTCTTGCTTTGATCCTGTGAGAAAGCGAGATCAGGGGAGATCCCTTTTGGGCTATCTTGGGAGGAATCTACAGCTTTCTAGAAAAAGCTAACTTAGCTTAACTATACTCTAACTCTAAGGAATTTGACTCATTAAAAGAACCTCTGAATTGGATTTCAGATCAATCTAAGTCAGCAAGCTAAAAATCTTCTGTCTTGATCTTATTTTTGAGTACTCATTCGCAAAATGATCTAATCCTTATCAAATTTGCTAGTTCTTACAGAGTCTGAATTAGACCAAAATTTAACCCTTCTCAGTATAATAAACACCCACCATTGTGTTAGAAACAGATGCATAACCAAAGGATATAAGCCAAAGACATCAGCCTTAGTTATTAGCATGCCGTTTAGTATTCATCGCAATTTGTTTTAAAGAACAACAATGTGTTAACATTTCGGCCTGAAGGGCTCTGAATATACTATCTACTGTATTTGATGCAGCCTGCTTATGCAATATTCTGACAGATACTATCAATCTTGTGAAAATGACTGGGGTGTAGCATAATAGCAAATTATCATTGCCAAACACAAATTTTTCCTGTAGTATAATCCCATCCTATTACTCACAATGGTAGTGGCAGATGGAAAGAACATTAGGCGTTAATTTTTTAAAAGAAGAAATTAAAAGTTATTAAGTTAATAAATCCTGGCTATGTGGTAGAGACAAGGGTTAAAATGTTTAACTTGTAAGCAAATATGAAGTAAGGGAGTCTGTACCTCCAACAAATGCATCTCCAGCTCCATTGGTGTCAATAATTTCTTTCTGGTCTTGATCCAAGACAGGAAAAGCAGTGACTTCACTTTCTGCAATTAGAGCCAAAGAAAGGCAGTCTGACTTCTCTTTGTTATATTCAATACAGTATATGAGCTCAATGAAATACAGTTTGATGTTCCTTCCAGTTTGTTTACCCATCATTCAAAGAGAGAGAAGACATGAACTCTGTATTCTACATTTAAATACTTGGAAACCAACATACAAAGTCATATGCAAGCAATACTGCTTTGCAATTTTCAGCATACAGATGCTGTATATGACTTATGAGAGTTATACTCAGGTAGCTTACATTTTTGGTTTGATTATAAATGGCAATAGTGCCTTTTTAGGACAGTACAAATGATTAAACAGAAACTATGAGCTAAAGGAGTGTTTGTATGGATTAGATCATGGTCTTTAATAAAGCTTCAAGCTTGACTGCATTCCTGGCAGTGAAATCGTGGATATAGCTAAAGAGCTATAAATTTAAAAAATATAAACAATGAGTCCTGGGTGTTTCTTTACAGAAAATCACAATGGTACTATAAAAACCTTCCTGCTATTTTGTTACAGTACATCATGCCAATGTCTGTCACTATTGATTTTAGTGGGCTAATGGCAAATAAGACAATCTGGTGACTCTTTTGCAAAGGAGTCAGGGTCAGCTAACGAAAGGGAAGTGACACTGAATGCATGGGCAGAACAAAAGGGACAGTGCAAGCCGCTCTCATCCTAGTGCGGTCTGGACCGGGGCTTGTTTTGACTACAGAGTAAGCTAGTATGTGTTACTTGGCACATGACAGTTTTGGAGTTATTTGTGATGAAATCTGGCTAGAGGACATCTGCAAATGATTGGACAATGTGTGTGTGTTTTTTTTTTTAATTTGGCGGTGGAATTTCTGTAATCACAAATTTGTATTTCTTATGGGGATAGGCAGGGTTAAGGACTTGCCAACTTCAGTCTCATCTAAGAACAAGAAAGAGGGAAAAGGAGATCTTGGGAACCTTAAAATTTTAACAAAGACTCTTAAGAATCATAAAAGCACGGTCGGTTTATCTTTTGCTACCTACTACAATTGGATACTTTTTGTTTTGTTTTGTTTTGCTTTGGTTTTTTTGGTACCGGGGATTGAACTCGGGACCTTGTCCTTGCAAGGCAGGCGGTGGCACCACTGAGCTAAATCCCCCGCCCTACAATTGGATACTTTTAACAAGAGACAGAAACAGGTATCTTAATGAAGAAAAGATCCACCTGTAAAAATTATTTATAAAGGGGACTGACTCATTTACTTAGTGACCCCTTAATGACTACTAACTCTTATGCCAGAAGCATCTATTTAAACTCTTAGTCACTAAACTTTCCACACTTCGGTGCACTAGGGTCTACAAGGTGGTTAACAAGATTTTGATTAATTGGAAATTATGGCATAAATATACAAGATTAAACTTTCTAGGAAGTCTGCAGTATGTATGACAACATGGACCAAAAAAAAAAAAAAAAAAA